AAAAAAAAAAAAAAAAAAAAAAAAAAAAATAGAGCACTATAATTTAGAGCTATATAAAAAATTATAGCCAAAATAATTAATTTCAAACTATGTATTTTTTATAACTTTTTAGATGCCTTGACTATTTATATCAATTGTATAAATCTTTATTTTCAGGTCAAATTCAAAAAAAGATTAATTAAAACTTTATTATTTTTGGCCAAATAATAATATTTAGCCTAAATAATATAGTTCTATCCAATATAAATTATATTTGAAAAAAAGTTATCTAAAAAGGTAATATTCTTAAAACGGTAAAAATATATTTTATTTTTCAAAAAAATGCCACATATACAGAAAAATCCACGTGGCAGACGAGTGCACCCACACATTTTGCCACATCAGCGTCTAGGGGGGTAATGTCTCTCAAAAAGCCAAGTTGGGGGGAGGGGGGGGAATTAAGACCGGGCATAGTTTGGGAAGGATACTAATAATATGAGCCAAATTTAGGAGTGATTTAAGGTATTTTGCCAATAAATAAAGTAGTAGTAGTATTGGATAAAAAAAATAGGTACTGAATAAAATAAAATAAAATAAAAACCTAATTAGGGTAAAAGAAAGAAAGCAAAAATGAAAATGCTTATGGCTGAGGTTTGAACTCGCGCCACCCCACTTCATTAAAAGCTGGTACCTTCTCTAACCAAAGCACCCATCAAATTCTTTGTTTACTGGGTGCTTTCTGACTTTCTATATCAAATGCCTCAAATTTTTTATAGAACTAAGCATACATTGTATTAAGGTTAATGGGTGCTGAAGCCAAATATAGTAATGTAAATCCGCCCATGTCAGTCGGCAGTACATTATGAGCATATATGAATACGCCTGAAACCTAAGTATGGGGTAAGTTCAGCCACTGTTGTCCACAGGATAAATAATTGGAGGCAGCTTTAAGAGTGATTCGTTATCCCAGAGGCTTTTTAAGTGTCGACACGAAACAGTAAGAATTTATTCTTTGTTAGATTCTTAAATTAGTAAATAGGCATGATAGGTTTGACTATTTTAAAGAAAAAATCGACAGAACCACGAACGGCCCTACTTCAAAGTCTCTCATTGACTCGAACCCACGACCCTGAGGTTGTAGGTGAGAATGCTAACCCACAACCCTGAGGTTGTAGGTGATAATGCTAACCATCTGAGCAACCCCTAGGTTACTACATTAATAATATCAAATATCTAATTTAAGGAACGGAAGGAAATATAAACATTTGATCCCCACACAATTAAGAAGTTTCAAGAATACCAAATGTAAAAATCAAACAAAGCATAATTTTTTACCTGGGACTTCTACGTGAAGATCAAGGATAATGAAAAGAGACAAGGAGAAACAGAGAATTGAAAGTCGAAAGGATTGACGCGAAACGATAAAAAAATTATGTTTTGTTGATTCCTAAATTTAGTGAACGAACATAAAGGTTTCTTCTAATTCCGTAATATTTATTAACAAAATAAAATGGCAGATTGACTAATAGGTACATGATTGTTACAACTAACGGGTCTTGAGTTGATTATCATGCAAAAGGAACTACTCAAATTTTCTGATTTCAGGGTGGTCAGTGGTCACACAAGTGAAATTGACGGCAGAATGGAGGCCTACATTTACACAGCACCTCTCCAAAGAGAACAGAAACCATGCGGGAAAAAGGCACCAAGAAGTATCACCTTCCCTGAGAACACTTTGCACAAAAAAATAATCTGAACTATATCATAAGCAAAGGAGAACAGACGCGCGTACTTTCTCCCAGCAGTGACCTAACAGCAGAAATCACACAGTTACCCATGGTAATTGCTTAGAGGTTTAAGGCAAAGCATCGTTTGATTCAAAAGGCAAACACACTAAATCAGGTCAACAAAAGTTTCAAAATAAGATACAAGCTAAAAGCTTTGCTAGTTTACCCTGTGAAACAAAAACCATTCATATATCCCTGAGTCTCCTAGTGCTTCTAAGTTGGAACTGTAAGATGATGCATCAGGGCTGACGTGCTTAGCATCCAAGTTTTGGCTGAGACAGTAAAGATTAGATGATATACAAGAGTCATTTGTGGCACTCTTTCCATGCTCACCACATAATAGTCTGGTGGTTCACAAGCTTATGTACATGATGATGACAGAATGAAACTATTCCAATCACTTTTTAGTCTGAACAAGACAGCTCAGTACTCAAATGTGGTTGCTGAACCTGGACTCTGTCGTTACTGAGCACATTCGGATAAATTCTATTAGAAGTGAGAAGAATAATCATATTTTGCAGATGTGCTGAACAACGCTAAAAAATTTCAAGATAAGAAGCAAATGCAATGCTCGGACTTCTTAGCAGATACTAAACTGAGAAACTCCCTATTTCTCAAAAAATTTATCAGCAGAATTTACCAAGTATATCCAGATCAAAAAATTAGTGCTAATTCAAGAATTGAAATGGTGGTAAGTGTAGAAGGAGGTACGGGAGAACAAAGAAAAGTTCAAATCTCAACAACAACAATTAATAACACAGAGAAGCAGCTAAATAGCTAATACGTGCATTTTTAACTAAAATAGGAAACAAAATGAGTTATTCCACTCACCATTCAAGGTCCTTTAAATCAGCTATAGCCTTCTCCAGTGCATATAAAGCCAACTTCTTCACCTAATGCAGACAGCAAACATGAAAATTTATGAAAGAATTACAAGAAAATACACATGACTTCACACCATAACAAAAAGTGGCTCATGTTTTTAAGTTTTACCCGACCTAGCCCATATTATACATATTTTGAAAACACTAGCTCTTGCAAATTCAAAATCTATATTCTTACAACCATTGCTTCTAAAAGTTATGGAGTTAAATCTGTGTTCTCACAACCATTGCTTTCACTCTCTCTTCTTCTCACATTTTTTTACATATGCTTCAAGGGGCCGTCCGTCATTACTGCTTCTCCCCCTATATCACGTGGTTGCAATGTAAAAAAAATTGAAGAGTGGAAGTGCACCATTAAAGGTCATTCAAAGTTTTGCTTTAGAAAATATAATTTCTTGTAATTCTTAGTTGTTTGGATTGGGTGTTGTTCCAATTGATTGAAAATATCAAAAGGAGTTCAAAGTTTAAATTTGAAGTGATTTGGAGCAGATTTGAGCAAGATTTGAGTTAAATTTCAGAAAAAACGCAAGGAAGAAGACGAAGTCAGTTTTTTGTATAATCTTGTATAATAGTATATAAACACATCTTATACACTATTATACATATTTATACACCTTTGTACAAACATCTGTAGACGAACTTCTTTGACTATTTTCAGTTGCAATTCTTGTTCAAAACCAGTCCAAATCTCCATTAAATGACTTCAAATTTTATATACAACCTTCTTATACTATTTCTAACAAGTCTAAATAACACTCACTCTAAATTTCTCACAAAATCAAATTCGGAATTTAAACCCACATATTTAAGCTTGTTAAAAATTTAATTTTCACCACCCAAATGGATTTGATTTGTTGAACTAATATTTGAGTCACATTTATTGATTCAAAAATTAACTTAAAAGCTTGAGCAATCTTTTTTAAAAATTAAATGGTAATTTTGAGAACCTATTGGAGTTGGATGTTGAATCTTAGCCTATTGTTTTTGGGCTAGTCGGTTGTAAATTGAAATATTGGCTATAAAATTGAAAAATGGGGAACCCAGTTGTTCTTATGTGAAATTCTCCCAAAATTTATAACTCCGCGGCAAATATGGAAGTGGAAACGAACTTCATAAACAAAAAGGAAAACTTTAAAGTTCAAAAATAAAGGAATAAGTTGTACTTTTCGTCCCCTCTTTTTTTCTTTCTATTTTTTTTCCTCCTTCCTGACCAATTCACCACTTGTACAATGTTCTCCCTGTTGAAAATGTCAAAAGTCCCACATCAGTGGGTGACATATTTGGTTGGAATTTTTTCCCTATAAAAGAAGGCCTAATGTTTAGGATTTAAACACACCTCTCATTTGTCTTCTTATCTTCTTAAGACATTTGTATCTTCTCTCTTTAATATTATTTCACTTGTATTTTTGGAGTGGAATAAAATATTGGTTGTATCCGAGGAAGTAGGCAAAATTGGTCGAACCTCGTAAATTCTGGTGTTACTTTTATTGTTGCTTTATTGTCTTATTTATTATTTGGTGGCTGTCATAATTTTGGTATAGTAGTTGTGACTCATTCACACTATATACATTTGGCTTCCGCAACAATTGGTATCAGAGCCAAGGTACTGTCTAAGTATGCTCTGTGGTTGCAGCATAGTCTGATCTTCCACATCAGAAAAGATTTATCTTGGTAACTGAGTCAAGGTTCTGTCTGAGTATGCTCTGTGGTTGCAGCTTAGTCTGATCTTCCACACCAGAAAGGAAATAATCTTGATTTGTGTCGTCAGCTATTAAATAATATTTGTGTCAAATATGGGAGACAATAAACAAGAAGAATCTACATCAAGTGTCAACAATACGTCATCATTGGCATCTTCGCTTATGACAAGAATTGTGTCAAATGCGAAATTTGCGGTAGAAATTTTTGACGTGTCAGGACATTTTGGGATGTGGCAAGGTGATGTTCTAGATGTCCTTTTTCAACAAGGGCTAGATCTTGCCATTGAAGAAAAAAGACCAGATGTTATTGGAGAAGATGATTGGAGAATTATCAACCGTGTTGCTTGTGGTATCATTCGATCCTACCTTGCTAGAGAGCAGAAATATCCATACACAAAAGAAACTTCTGCAAGTAAAATATGAAAAGCACCGGAGGATAAATTTTTGAAGAAAAACAATCAAAATAAATTGTACATAAAGAAGAGATTGTTTCACTTTACCTATGTTCCTGGTACCACGATGAATGAACATATCATCAGTTTCAATAAGTTGGTCACAGATTTACAAAATATGGATGCAACTTTTGATGATGGTGACTTGGCCTTGATGTTGTTGGAGTCACTTCCTGATGAGTATGAGCACCTTGAAACTACTCTACTCCATGGGAATGACGAAATTTCTCTCAGAGAAGTTTGTTCGGCTATGAACAAAGAAAGGGAGAAAAACAGAAGGGCGGAGAAAGAAAAGCACTGGTTGTGAGGGTCGTCCTCAAAATCAAACGAGGACAAAGAAAGGAAGATCCAAGTCAAGATCTAGACCCAGCAAAGATGAATGTGCCTTTTGTCGAGAAAAGGG